CTCCAATAGATCCATGTCTTTCCTGTACTCAGGACCCCAGATTTGCATACAGTACCCCAGATAGGGTCTCACAAGAGCAGAGCAGAGGAGAAGAATCATCTCTCTCAATTTGATGGCCATGTTGCTTTTGATGAAGCTCAGGATAGGGTTGGCTTTCTGGGCTGCAAATGCATGTCGTTGGGTCATGTCCAGTCTCTCATCCTCAAGCACACCCAGTCCTTCTGATCAAGGCTACTCTTGAATATTTGCTGTGGAATACTTACCTACTGAGAAATGTTACATTTTGGGGGAAAAATTATCACAGGATTAGTTGAGTGGTTTCCTTTTCTTTTTTTTTTTTTCTTCCCCCCCTCAGTATCCATTCTTAATGCATATTTGGATTATGATTCAGTATAATTCCTTTTTTGCCATTAAGCCAGACATGTAGTCATTTTACTGCTTGTGCATTTACTTTTTCCAGTCTAAGCACAATAGTTTGTGCTTTTATTTACTGCACTTGTCGGAATTCCAGATTATTTTCTCCAGCTGCTGAAGATAATTTTGGACTCCAATCCTTAGCTTACCAGCTTCCATCAGGAGCCTGCCACTCTCCATCTAGGTGTCATCCAAAAACTTGGTATATGTATACTCTATTCTATCAGGCACAGTGCTAACGAAAGTTTAGAGTAGCAATAAGAATGGAACAGACTCTTACAGATTCTGACTTGTTGTGATCTTTTGTTTTGACAGGAAACCATCAGCAACTACAGTTCTTCAATCTGTTGTGCAACCAACTTTTAATAATTTCACTTGGGACCATATTCCCCTACTTGCTTTACAAGACTGTCACATAGGACTTTACAAACCCTTGTTAAAGCCAAAATACATCACAGCTATTTATTCCCTATTATCCATTAGGCCAATTACCCTGTCAAAGGAAAAAAATTAGATTGGTTTGACATGATTTGTTCTTGACAAATTCATGTTGACTGTTTCTTATTGCCTTATTATACCCTAGGTGCTTACAAATTGATACTTTAATCATTTATTCTAGATGTCAAGCATAGCCTAAATAGGATATAAGTCCTTTGATCCTGCTTCTTTCCCCACAAAATTTAGAACCACAGTAAAATACTGCAGAGCTATATTGCATCCTTATCCTCAAAAAGATTCTTCACTATTGTTTAACTGCAAGAGCACTTTTTGAACTCTGATGGCTTCATACAGTTGAACTATATATCAATTCAGTGATATTTTTTTTTATAGAGACGGAGAAAAATAAGGTAAAAAACAACAAATAAGGACTGATGAGAATTCAGCTCCTGATTTTCAGAGAAATATTATTGTGGTTGCTATTTAAGTAAAACAATAATTTCTGGCTAACATAATTGGAAATATTTTTACAGTGTATCAGAATGGAATTCAAATCCTGTGAACACATCAGAACTCTGTCCAACCTTTCTTTAAAGGCAAACTGAATCATCACTCAGCCATCTGCATTAACAAGAGGGAAGAAAAATAGATAACCCCTTTGGAAGAATTGACCTTGTTGATAGATACCGATAACTTGATAACTTCATCAAATACTGAAATCAGAAATGTGGGCAAAAGAAGATGAAATAGTCAAGACAGGAAAATTTAGTAAGTGTTTTCTTTTTCTCTTTTTCCCAAGCCATTAGCAGAAAATTTACTTCTACAGCTACCTATAGGCACGAGTTATCCTACTGAAGTCAGCTGCACTTCATTTTACAAGGTACTTTTAGCAGATATTTAATGTGAAGCATGCATTTAACAGTTCTTCTGACCTGGTGCAATACCTCTCAGCAGCTGCCAACATCTAAATGACAGTACAGGCACTTGCACCCAAGCACATATGTAAACGTTTTGCCTTGTACTGGATGCACAATGTGATTGTAGATGTTATATATAGATTTCCCTGAATGAAAAAAAAAAAAATGGTCTCCACAGAACCTACCTCTGCTGTTCTAATGTCTTTTCTCAGCATGGAGAGGCTTTGGTTATTTGCTCTTTCCTCTCTTCCCTTTTGTGAACAGATTTATTTTAAAAAGAAACACTGAACACAAAGCTGTCATGAAGATTTATAGAAAACTCCTTTACAAAGAAGCTAAATGATTTTAGACTATTGTATTGCCTTTTCTCATTTTTTTTGAAATGTAATTTTGATACCATGTAACCTGAAAAAAAGCTCTGCTGCTCCTAAAGAAATCCATATAAAAAGAGAGAAAATTCTGTATTCTCTGCAAAAATGAAAAGTCTCACAGACCAGTTTTATTGTAAACATTTTCATAATATTGCTGTGCAGCAGATAAATGGAATTTCTATTCATTACTTTCTGATAAATCGTATCTCCAGCATCTAAAATAGAGACATATTGGTAGAAGAGACACAAAGCCTAGGTTTCTAGACAGAAAAGGTATTTATTGTTGTTATGGATTTAAATCATATTCAATAAAATATGATGAAAATGAAAGGTATGAATATTGAGTAAATGAAAATTTTTTTATGATAGTAGGAGAAAAACATACAATGTGTGTGCTTGCCATTCATATAGTAGAGTTATCAAAAAATGATAGCTAACAGCTCTTTTTCTTCAAAGCAATCTTTCCTTTGAGTCTCAATATTAAATCTTTAGTTTAGCATATTTTTGCTTCATACACTGGTGGACATTTCAGAATTACCTAAGCAATGGAGGAAATAGCTCTGCCTACTCCTTTCACATTGCAAAAAAACATTCTTAAACTGAAATGGAACTGTGACTACATCTTATGTATTGAAAAACCTCAGCAGAGCACTTTGTGATTTTCAGTAGTAATAACTATAAGCACTGGAATGAGAAGAGACCATCACAAATTGCTTCTGTGTGGTAGGGAAAAGGGGAAGAGATGTCATCCCAGGTTAATCAATGGACAACTTTCGGATCGTAATCTCTCCATCAATCAGCGACACTGGAATTGCCTTAAAAATTAGGTGAATATTAGAAGTGGAAAGTGAAACATACTCATCAAGAAGGTCTCCCCCTTCCATAAAGTTAATATTGATCTACTCTGAGAGGAGAGCATTAAAACAACCTTCTTCTGAGTAGTGTCGGTTATTTGGAGTTCAAGTCTCTAACACCTGAAGGTGTGAAGGGACAGTTAAATATCTGCTTAACAGCTTGTCTTCCAAGAGTTTTCTGTGAACAGCTTAAATTAATAAATTTCTTCTGAAACCAGATTTTTGGACACCATGGATGACTCTGAAAATGGCCACTGCTTCTTTCCCCTCTCTTTTTTGGAATACTTTCTAAGAGAGCCAGAAAAGGAACAGTATGGGACCATAGCAGTCCTCTGAGTAAAAAGTATCAGTATGCACTGATATCTTGTTTGTTTCTCTGTAGAAGCATTTTTGTTTCAGACATTTTATTCTGGAAAAGGTCTAACGCCTGTCAGCTGGAAAATTTTCCACTCCATATATCAATCCGAGTTGTGTAACTGCTAATGACTAAGTCATTTTAATGATGTGTTCATCCTTTCTTTTGTCTGGATGTTTTTGCAGACTAACAAATGGTATACCCTCTTTGAAAGGCGATGTTTCACTCTGGTATGTTACACTAAAGCGTTTGATATCTCTTGTAGCTATATACTGTGCATGATTCAGTGTGACATGCTTTTTCCTAAGACAAAGCTGAAAACTGTGATAAGTTGGGCTGCTCAGTCGGTGAGATCCACTGCAGCCCAGAAGCCTCCATCATCCCCTCCTCATGAATGACTCAGTATCCACAGTCCTAATTCTGGCATCTGGCTTCTAAATGGAAGAGCCTAATTTGACTCCTTTATTTCTATCTGTGAGGGACATGACAACTCCAGAGAGGGTATTATCCTTCCTTGCACCACTCTTTGAAAATTATGTCAATGTTATAAGAGAAAGGTGCCCATTCAGGTGAATTAGAAAATCTGGAGTCATCAGTAAAATTAAATATGTGATGCTGACTGGTCTGGAAATTGTGACTGAGATCTTGTTTAAATTATTTCTGAGGAATAAAAAGCTGAGTGGGATGAAAAGAGCTGTATTATTTTCTCCCTTAGGAGGGCAATCTTTAAAATTAGGCTTCAAAGTTCAATTTAAGTTTTTGACAAGATCATGGCTTTAATAAATAACCAATAAACCAAAAATAGTACAAACTGTACATAAGTATCTGCCTACAAAGAAGCAGGAGCACTCAAGAATTATTTCACTTCTTCCTATGACTGGCATGAGGAAGGGCCCTAGTGGACACTTTTGGGTTTGACCTTACTCTAAATTCAAACATTTTTATTCTGACAGAAGTAACTTCCATATTTAAATTAGTAAAACAAGTAGTGGGTGGGGAAGATTAATTTCCACTAGCCATGTCCCTGTCAAGAAACTTCCTGAAGAGACTAGAATAGCAGAAGGAAATATATTGTACTATGTCACGTTTTGCCTGCACACACAATGACCCTGAGAAGGAAATAGAAGAGTTAAAATCTCAGGCTTTTCTCTGACATAACAAGTGTTACTTGTGATGTTAAGGAACATCACAGCACAGCTTCCTTGGATAATTATGGGAGACAGGTTTCCTCTTTGTATTAGGGACCATTTCTAGTTCAGCTTGCTCTGTTTCACTGCTGCAGGAGTGAGAGGAGGTAAAGAAGGAGCCAATTGAAGGTACATAGGTACTGGTAGAAGAATTAGGATCCAGCAAATATATCAAATATATCAACCTTATTAGCAGTAATGGATCAGTCAGTTTTTCCTGTTTACGCTCTGTGCAGCACAACTGAAGTTGATGAGCTTGCAGGGATATATTGGCAGAGAAAATCTGGCTGGGTGTATAAACGCTGCCAAGCAATTGTGTTTATTTGAAACATCCTACAACCTTTTCATCTGCTGAGCGACAAACTGAATTCACAACATTTCATTTAGGTTCAATTTATGAAAATTATGGCACATACTAGAAGATAAGTACATATTTCTAATCTGATACAAAACGATCGACTTACATCAGAATTAAATCTCAGCTGGCAAATGTTGCATGATATGATTTGCTTTCTTCGATGAGGAAGAGGAACTCCAAATGTATGATTTATTACAGCTTTTTGAATTGGGTCCATCTGTAAAGAGAAAAGAAGAAAAATGAAAGCTTTTGCTGTTCCACTGTGTGCTATATTATCTATAATTTCAAAACAGATTTTGCATCATGCCATACCATGCCTCACACTACAGAAAAACTATTATTTTTCTTTGAAAATGAATATTTCTTCTTCATACAGTTTTACAAAGAGGTAATGCAAAAAGGAACAAAGAAAAGTGTGATTAGCTGTCTTGAAATAGATATCCATGTTTCAATTTTATATGTACCAATCTCCCTTTACTGAAGAAAGGTAAAAGCTATAAACGCTGAAAAAGTTTACCTATCAAAACACCAGTTTAAGATTTTTATATCATAGAAAATCTAGCTTAATAAATGAAACAAGAACATTTAAAATAAAATTACTATCAAAAGGATTAATGGAAATGTGAAGGAATAAAATATTCAAATAATTCCAGAATAGCACGCAATAGCTCAGTATTATGAAAATAATAATAATTTCCCATGAACCAATAAATTAATCTCTTTCATGAAACAACATCTACACAACTTATGAAAAAATCCAAATCCTCCAAAGATTATTTTCACTATCATTTAGAGGAAACTATTGTAAATAAATCTAATTTAAGGATGAATTTGGACTTTTATGAAAAAGGTTTTTCTGAGCTAATTTCTACCGAAACACTGATCTGATAGTGTTTGCAAGTAAGGGTCCTTATGAAAAAGTGTACCATTTTGGCAGAGAATTTTACAAAATCTACTCAAGAGACTGTTTTACGTGGATGATTGAAGTCAATTTCCCCAAATGCATTGATCAAAATTATTCATATTTCTTCTTCACAAGAAGCATTTGAAAGCTACTTTAAAAATCTTGTAATAGCTGTACAACTTTGTTAAGCCACTGATAGTTTTTATCTTTAAATAGTTAAAAATTCACAGATTTTGCCTAATTCTGATAACCAGTATTCACGAGCATAATCTGTATGTGTCCTGAAAAAAACCCCATCTTTTTCCATGCTCATGTCTCCATGATTCACTATATTCTAGTCTGTTAGCAAAGGGTTATTTGATAAATAAAGAATCAGAGCTTTTCCTTAGAGTAATCAATTATTCATGAAAGCTGTAATAGTAGACAGTCATGGCCTCTATTGCAGTGAATCCACAACAGATCACTACGGAATTTCTGTATCACCTGACAGCTGTTCAGTGTCAGATATGAAATAGGTCTTTAAATTAATTCCTGTTGAAAAGAAAATCAGATTGGTTTAAAAAAAAAACAACAACTCCCCCCCAACACACACACACAAAAAGCCCAAATGAACCAAGGAAAAAAGGAGAGCTTTATAGGACAGTCTGGAAGACATGCTCAGTTTGAGCGTCCTCTTCCATTTGAAGTGAAAGTGAAACACCTCATACATTTATGCAACCACCCGCATAAAAGAACAACAATCCCACCTAGAATATAGGGATGCCACTGTAACATAACCCCAAAATAACACTGATAGCTAAGGTGAGAGTATATCAAGTGCTGAAACACTACAACATGCTGTGTAAGACTTCCTGCAGTGATGAAATCATGTGTTAGGAACATTCATTTTACTGAGTAGCATGATCTTGAAAAAGCCCACAGTCCAAAAATACTATTATATAGACCAGGAAGAAGACCACTACATAGCAAAGTAAATAAATAGTAAAAGCTCTTCCTTTTTTTTTTTTTTTTTTTTTTTTGCCAGCTAGATGAATAGACCTGTATCTCGCTATTTTCAGTATTAAAGCATGATGTGGTCTTAAATTTCACTACCGTTGAAGTTTGGAGAAATTCTGTTCCTTTTGCCACTGTAGGTCTAAAATACTTAGGGAAACCTCAAGTTCAAATATATGAAAAAGTTAGCACACAGTAACAAGAAATTGTGCATTCTTTGATCAAGTGTAACTGTTTGACTTCACATTAACCAGACCTGTGAGATGCTTTAAAGAACATCTTTGTTGACTTTCTTAATCTATGGCACTTGTGAGATAATGTGAGGTAATAGCCTTTAGTGTTAATACATGTCTTTCACATTATCTCACAAGTGCCATAACTTCAGAAAGCAAAAAAAGAAACACTCCAAGGGTTAAATGAAAGGTTCCACCATGGTTAATAAGATGGAACAACTGATTTTTTTTTAATCGGATTTACCCACTTCAAAGTAAGAATTTTACCTACAAATGAGGTCAGATTTCTCGGGCAACTGATGCTTACATATTGTGAATGAGACAAACAATTTTTTAGAATTAAAAAAAAATCATGAATGTATAGAATACTTGTTCTATGTTATACTTACTTTTATTTTGGACTCATGGAAAACTGTGGAGTTTCTTTTCTAATCACTACACAGATTTTCTCTTATTTATCTGTTTATACGGAAACCCATCTGTACCTTTCCTTTTCAGTTTCTAAAGATATAGACTTCTAGATATAAAGCTACATGGTGTTACTGTGAATAGGATGATTTGTGTTTGTGGCTCTAAATGAAGAAGTGTTCTGGATAGCTTTCAAGCTGATTAAGAAAAGCTGCTTCAAAATAATAAACCCTTCTCTGCCAGTTCATAAAAACATAAAACTGTTTGGATTGGAAGAGACCTTAAAGATCATCTCTCTCCAACCCCCATGTCATTCGCAGGGATACATTCCACTAGAGCAGGTTGCTCACAGTCCCATCCAGCCCAGCCTTGAACATCTTCAAGGATGGGAGAATTGTTGTTTGATACTGCAAAGCACAGTTAAACTTAAAAACTTAACCCCAGATTCTAATAAAGTTGGGGCAGAATACTTGTGGGGTATTTTACATTATTATTTTTCCTCGAAGATTTTGTTTGGGAAACATGGCCATTCCATAAGTTCCAAATAAACATCAAAAAAGCACCAGATAGGCCTCCAGAAGTTTTATGCAGGAAATCTTAGAGAGGTAACAGGATACTCTGGTGCAGCATGATAAGGATTAAGATCTCACAGATATTGAAGACAGAGAGGAGACCTGCTGAGAGTCAGAGGAATAAAGAGAGGTAGCTGATTGCAGAAAATAGAGAGTAAGGATTACAGGGAAGTATAAAGGGGGAAATAATATCATATAGCTGAGATAATCAGCAAGTGGTGAGATACTTAACATAATCTCCAGGCACTTCTAGGCTCACTGAACATTGCTAATTACACATATAAATTATATTTCAAATTCTGTAAGTGGTATTCAATTTCAAAATAAAAATTATCATGATAAACTTTGATAAAATTTGCTTTTTACTCATTGCTAGTGCTATATTACAATTGCTGGATTTTATTTCTTAGATGAAACTGATTTAATTTACTCTCATTTACAGTGAAGGACAGAGAGATTTGCAATTCACATGGGAGATTATCATTCAACTTTCAAAGCTGTGCAGAAGACCAAGGTTGGCAAGATATCCCTTTATTTCCTCTCCATAATGTATTTGCACTGGCAGTTACAACACAACAGCTGCTATCCTTGAAGGTCTATTTGTATAGTGCAGAACCTGGGATGGTATATTTTGCCTACAGAGAAATCTGATCCTTTGGAAAGGTAAATTTTCATATTTTCCACAAATAATTTCTCAGTGTTCCCTTTTTTTGAGTGTGTGTGAAGAATTGTTTTACACTGAAACTGAAATTCAAACACATAGCGCTTCCTGAATTTCAAGTAATTTTTAATATGTCTAATTTTTCATGGTTGTTTTTCTGTGATTTCTTATCCCAGAGGCATAAGAATATGCCTAAGTTAAAAACAATAACAAGCCAGTAGCAAAGGAAAACATGCAAGTTTGACACGCAAAGGCTCAAATCGCAAAAAGATATAAATCCAAGGGTAGGCCTAAAGCAATCAAAAAAGTAGAGAAAGTATTTTTACCTCAAAAAAAAAACCAAACAGATAAGGAATGACTGCCATTACTTGAACAGCTAAGTGAATTTAGTGACCCAGGTACCAACACCTCTCAGATCTTCTTAAAATTCAGATGCTAACATATTCAATAATAATATTACAATGTACTTATCTGACTTAATTTTGTACTTACTCTCAAATATGTTTGTAGAAATGCAAACCTATGGCAAGAAACCTGACGTGACTCTAGTGTTTCTCTCTTCCCTTCTTTTTTGTTATTTTTTTTCCTTGTAGATTTTTCCACTTGGCAATGAGATGCTGAGGCAGCAGCAGTATTTCTGGCAAATTGCTTGAATGTACAGAAACCAGTCAGAGCAAAAGGATTTGCATTCACAGTGGTATTACACATAAATACTGTAACCACAGAGAGATTATGCAAATCCTTATACTCCGATTGTCTAATAATGGTTGTCAGTCAAAAGATAAGAATTTGCATATGCTAAGGCTAGTGAGAAATAATCACACAGTGATTATGCTAATCAAACACACTAAACAACATGTGAAGGACTGTCAAACTGGAACAAATCTGTGTATGTGTAATGTATGCTAAATATAGAAACACGCAGTACTAAAAGAATATTAAGGTTGCAGATCAAGCCCTTAAAAACATGAAATGCCTATAAGTCTTAATTTGACACCTTTCTGAATTTATATTTTTGAAATATGTTCACATATTTTTCCCCAAAAATTTGGCTTTTTGTCTGTTCAGATGATGGACAATGTTCACCTAATGAGAAACTGTTCAATGTTGTGTTTTGTCCAAGAGGTTCAATGAATAGCCCTAAATCTCATTTACTATATAAAGCTGAAACCTCTCTCCCAACAGAACTTATCAGCCTATTCGTTGGCTCTCCTACGGTCTTCATTGACACAGGATGTGAGTAGTTCACAGGTATAATTAAGTTATTTTGAAAACTTCTTTTTTTAGATAAAAGATTTTATTATCTCAAAAATAAAGAACAAAATTTGTACACCAGTTCCAGTTACCAAATTTAATATACCTGATAGTACTTACTATAGTAAGTTGCCCACACAGTTCCTGACTTCAGATTCATCTGTGAAGGGGCTACACGAACTAAAAGCAGTT